TTCATCAGTTTGTTTTGTTCTTGAGATTCCACATATAAATGAGATCATGTGATATTTGCCTTTCTCTGCCTGGCTTATTTTGCTTAGCATAATATTCTCCAAGTCCATCCATACTGTCCCAAAGGGTACGAGATCCTTCTTTACAGCTGCATAGTATTCCATGGTGTACATGTCCCACAGCTTTTTTATCTGCTCATCTACTGATGGGCACTTTATTTTTCATTTCTTGAGGAAAGAAATACTTCATACTATTTTCCACAGTGGCTGTACCAATTTATAACCAGCAGCAGTACAGAAGAGTTCTCTTTTATTTACCTCTTTGCCAGCACTAATCTTTTGTCTTTTTGATGATAGACATCCTAGTGAGGTGATATCTCATTGTGGTTTTGATTTGCATTTCCCTAAAGATTAGTGATGTGGAGCACCTTTTCCTGTACCTGTTGGCCGTTTGAATGTCTTCTTTGGAAAACTGTCTCTTAAGTGGTTTGGCCATTTTTGAATCGGGTTTTTTGTTACCATTTCTTTACTTTTAATGTATGTAGATATTTATATTTATAGTTGATTTCTTTGTATTCTGTTAAAACTGGGTCAATAAATTGAAAATTTGGTCAAACTCCTAGAGTAAAAAGTATGGGGGCCTCCCTATGTCTAGGACCTAGACTCTAGATCCTCCTGGAGTTTTTAACTTGGACTCAGCCATGCTAAACCTTTACCAATTCATCAATTATAGTTCAAGGTTTTCTGCACCAACACTTGTCCCCCGTGTTTCACTTAGCAGTTTCTGCTATAGTAAGTTGTGATTCTCTGCATCTGCCTGTCTTAATTTGGGGGCCAGCAATTGGTTCTGTGACCTCACTTCTCTGATGGATATAAAAAGATTTGCTGTGCATTCAGCTTGGTCAGCTTTTTACTTGCTGGGGTGGGTGACAACTTCCAAGCTCCTTACTAGCCAGACTGGAAACCAGAAGTTGGGGGGTTTTTGGAGTGATGAAAATGCTCTGGGAAGGAGACTTGATTTTGGATGGTAAATACACAATGCAATATACAGATGATGCATTGTAAAATTGTACACCTGAAACGTATTATTTTATTAACCAATGTCACCCCAATAAATTCAATTTAAAGAGAGAAAGAAAGAAGAAAGAAGGAAGGAAGGAAGGAAGGAAGGAAGCAAGGAAGGAAGGAAGGAAGG